TATTACGGTTCGCATTAGGCCCTGTGCATAATAGAAGAAATAAGAAATTATGCCCGTATTCATAATCAAACTTTGTATTTAAGGCTTCCTTAAATTTATCTTTAGATGCTTAATAGCCAATGAAATAATTCTTAGAGTATCTGAAAATAAATTTAAGGAAGCCTTAAATATAAGGCTTAACTATGAATACAGGTGTTAGAACTAAAGAATAAACGATTTCAACCTATCAGAAACAGTATGTTTTCTATCCGATTTCTGATAAGTTATTCTTTATTCCTAATTCCTTATTCCTTCTATTGTGCGTAAGACCTTACAATTGAATAGCACAAATCACAAGTTAGATTCAGTTAGATTGTTTGAAACATTATTAGCGTGTTAAAATCGCTGACATTTCCAAAACATTTCTCCGGAAAATCCCAATTTTTCGGAAGTCCTGACAGAGAAATAGCGATAGTCGTTCTAAGCCAATCTAAGCAAGTATAAGAAATTGGTGATTAAAGTGAGTTTTTTGTAATTAAATTTTAGAATCAAATAAAAAATGTTGATATGTGCATTGATTTTGATATAATATTACTAAATATTAATATAAAAAATAATATTATTGAATTAATATTAGAATTTAAGTTAATTGACATATGAGGTTAAGATTCATCAAGAATGATGTCATCTCCTTAAATTAGATAAATTGCGCATAATATACAATATAACAAATATCGTAATAGATTTTAGATGTAAAAAGATTTTTTAACAATAACTTTTGAGTGATATTTAACCGATAAATAATTTTTTTTTATTCTAAATTCATCAAATTAACAAACATTACTTTGTCAGAAAGATGGAAAAACATATTAATTATTAATATAATTTTTTTTTATTTAGCAAAAAAGGATTATTTATAACATCTAAAAGATTTTGTGATCATAATGACAGAGGAAGAAGAAGTTACAGACATATGTTGGGTAAGTTGTTTTAATACATTATATGCAACATCAATAATTTTTTTATGTTATACTAATTTTTCAAACGTTAGTTGACTATATTTACTCAGTTTACTTGTTTCCATCATCCCAAAAATACAATTTAAAACTTGAATTTAAACTGACGATAGAGGAATTAATCACTTGACAGTTTTTTTCAATTAATTTTATCAGAAACAAAAATATTTGAATGTACTGTTAATGATACATTTGTTTTTTAGGAAGTTACGAAGACTCTTGCTATACAACAGCAACAATACTTATTTGAGAATCTTCCTGACTGCACAATATATAAAGACAATGAACATGAATATCTAAAACAAAACATTGGATTTGCAATTTATGGTCCACCAGAGAATATCAAAAATACAGATACAGAAGAAGATCACTGTTATTGCAAAACAGAGAGTCCAAATGATGCAGATGTTGTTGAAACAGTAGGATATTCAGAAGACGCTCAAAAAATCATAAATAAGATATATGATAGAATATGTACATCTTCAGTAGAAACCGATGACTCTGGATCAATTTACTATGGTATAATTTATAATATGATATTCCGTCGTAAAACAAATGTAAAGCCTAAGAAAAACGAAGTAAAAGAAGAAGCAGACAAAGATATGCCTAATTTTGTGCCTGTTCCTATTTTTACAATCAGAAATAAGAAAAAGTATGAAACTACGAAGAAAGCAAAACAAGAAGATACATCAACTGGTGATGAAATACAGTATGAAACATTATACATTGATGTCACTAGCAGAGTATATAAAAATTGGACAGACTATATAGAAAATAATAAATTACCAGAGTGTACTATGGTTCTTCCAAAACATGGTTTTTATGAATCAAATCCAGCTTATTGTCCTACAGAAGATTATTCAACAGTTTGGCTGGAAATCCTGGAGTCTCCTTCATGTAAATGGAATGTAAAACTCTGCAAGGGAATGGATGTCGCTTCTACTGTCGTCGGATTTGGCACAGTTGGTTTGAGTATCGCAGCACTGTTCACACCTCTTGCGCCAGTTGTTGCTATATCAGGTAAATTGTTCTTAATTGATGCAAAATCAATTTATCATGTTAAATATTAATTATATAATAATTATGATTTATTTGTAACAAGATTTATTTCAATATAATATATTATATAATATATAAAGGTACAAGACAGAATTACATTCTATTTTATCATGTTTATTAGGAGTTGCTGCTGCTACTGCGACTAGTGCTTGGTCATTTGGTCGAAATACCCAACAATTAGTAGATCGCAATAAACATGAAGAATCTATTCATGTTTTCGACAAAGAAGCATTTACACATTATCTCAGCATGGCCAGTACTGCATTTGGTTTAGGAGCAATGGGAGGATCAGCGATTATTTCCAATGTTGCTGCACGTGGTATGACAGTAAATACCCTTGCAAAAGTGGCATTTAATACTGTACAAGGTGGTAGTCTGATCTTGAGTGGTATTGGCGTCATATATCAGGGTCACTGTATATATGATAAGTATAAAAAAGAGAAGACTGTCGATGTCATAGATGCATTAAATTTGGCGACGCATCTTATGTTTTTCTACGGCTCCGTAGTTAAGATTCAATTTGCCAGCGACATAATCGAGAGTACTCAAAGTAAAGTTATCAATGATTATAAGAATGATTTGGTTACCAAACGTATTCGTAAAAAATTCAATAAAATTGTAAAGAAAGCTGCTGAAAATAATACATGTAAAATATCCGAAAATGCGGAAGTGATACTTTATATAAAACATCGTCGAGATCTTTTGTCAAATCAGCCTGTAACCAAAGGCGGTAACCAGACAGACAGTACTTCGCATAATATCGAATGGTCGATTAATCGTGGTGGATTAAAAGTTAATGGTATTATATTGTTAGACCCTATCGAATTTGTTACTCGTCTTATAAAATTGGGCATATTTATCGGAATCGATCAAAACGAGTCTGATCCACCGAACAATGATAATGAGCTTATTGAACAATTAACAAAAGTATTCTGTGATTTATTATCCAAGTTGTATGTAAGCGACGACTGTCCTAAAAGCAAAAAATTACCGATAAAATTACCAGTGCCTGACTTTGCACCTTTAATAAGGGAGATGAGTTCTCTGCAAATTAATAAAAATTACTTGGAGATGCTGTTTAAAATTACTGAAAAATTATTGAAACGTTCCAAAAATATGGACGATTTTTTACTCCTGACTTTTACTTTTGTTTGGCAATATTGTAAGGCAAACCTAAAACAATGGGGTATGACTTTATGCCCGCAAAGCATTTGCAGCAACAAGATTTTGCAAAGAATTATCATTGCAATTTTTGAAGCAATTGATATGATGGCTAGTAATTTATGTCACGCTTTTGAAAAATATATAGCTTCTATTTTGTATAAAAATAAATAAAGAATATGAATTCCATATAATTAAAATAAAAAAGCGAAATTAAAAAAATTATGTGTATAGTAGTTTAGTAATAAGCAACAATTGTTATAAAAATGTATACTAGGCAGTAAGAAATATATAATAATATTTATAGCGACAATAAAGTTTAAGCTTTAAAGTAGAGTATTAAAATTTTGAGATGCACGCGATTTATTCCAAGATAACATTGAATAGATATGAAATTATTTTTTTTTAATAATTTATATTAAATATATCAGAAGCTATATTGCGGTTGAAAGCGAATTTATATCAAAAGATACGTATCAATGTCCCGCATTAAATATAATCATATAATCCTGGAAAATCTTATACGTATATTTTTAAAACATATCTTTTGGCGCCAAAGTGTCTTAAATAAATGAATAGTATTATGTATTTCCAAAAAGTATTGTAATACGAGTAACACCTATGTTTAAGCTATTGTAAAGATGAACAATTTTCACACAATTTGAGGTGATTTTAAGTCCTTGAAAGTGTACTGTATTTGTGCCTTCACAATTTTTTTGTTATATTCAGATTGTATAAAAAGTTATAAAATAGTATCGAAAGTTATAAAATAATAAATATTTATTTATTTGCATTTTATGTTTTTCATTAAGAATCATATTAATTCCTAATTTTAAATGAAGATCTGTAAAGTATTATGCATAAAAATTAATGTAGCAAAAACAATTTTATTAAACATTTAACTTCGTAAATAGTAATGTAAGAGCTTTGTTTATAAGAGATATATCTCAATCTTTGGACTTTATTGTATTTTCTAACAAAAAAATCAAAAGAAAAGAATAAGTGCAATGATACAATGAAATCATTTCTTGATTTCCACAGATTAACTTATAATTATACATGTAAAAGTATAATTATTATATATGTGTGTATACATGTGTTAATTCTTTTATTTACTAAATTTTATTTTAAATTAATATATATAAAGTTCTATTTTTTATAAATAAGCTTTGGTAATATACTTTTTATTGTTCTCTTTTTTAAATATGCTTCCTTTCAAAGATGTTTTCATTTTTTCTTTTTATCTCCCTTTTTAAATCCCTATAAATATTTCGTTTTATTTCTATTTTTCTCTTATTAATAGAGAAAAAGAGAATTATATTTTATTTTTCTGTTTATAAAATATGAAATCTTATGAGTTATGAAATCTTTCCGAGTAACAAATGTGAAAGAATAATTATAGTATTTCTATAATAAAATATAATGTTAAAAATATAAATATTAAAAATATACAAATATTATAAGTATATTATGAATATAGTGTTCCTTATATTTATTATAGAAATTCTAATATGCGTTTCCATCGATATAAATTAATTTTAATCTTGGTTCAACTCACTCTTTATTTTTTTCTAATACTTAAAAACTAGAAAAAAATGAAGAGTGAATTGAACCTAAATTAAAATTAGTAGAAATGAATGTAAGAAGAATAACAAAAGGAGAAACAATATTAACATAATTCGAATGCGAGAACAATTCGCCGCCGTAGCTCACATGCGGATACCATCTTAATGCGCGCGTGCGCGCCCAATAATTGAGAATCGGCACGCAACTCAGCACCGAGTCAGCTGACCTGTCTTGTGATAGCAGCTAGACCGGAGTCGCGAGACAGGCGTACAGTTCTTGTTGCTGGCTGGACTTGTGCTGGAAAACGTTACACCTCTCTTCGTGAGTATTCGTGGCCGAATCAATTGACGCGGCCACCAACGGCCGACATCTTTCGTCGCTCGTGCGGATGATTTCCGAGTCAACGTTTCTCCGTCGGAGATCCGTGTGCGAACGAGCGTGCTGTAGTATATCGATCCGGTGGCACTTTGCATGCGCCATCGTCTTCCCCGATCGGGCGCGAATTCGTGAAATTTCCAATCGATTTCCGATCGGGAAAGACGCAGCTCGCCGATCGCAGCGGCCGTTGATGACGATGCTTCGCGCGATCGATCGCGGTCGTCTTCAACGAGAAAATGATCTCGCTTCCGTCTAGCAGACGGCCTACGATCTTCGCGGGGCTACGCCTACTTTTTGAATGGCTTGCTCACGTGAATCGCACATCAGCCAGCGCTCGACAGCGCTTCTTCGATAAATCGTCTTCTCGTCTACACTGGATACGTAATGATTGATTAGCCAGCCCCTGGTTTCCGCTGTTTTCTGTTGTTTATTTTAATTACAGTGAACGATATATTTATCAAGTTTCTCTCGTTCTCCTGTGATCGGGGGAAGAAAAGGGTAGGAAGACGCAGGAAGCGCAATTTAAAGAAACAGATTTGTTATATTCACTTGATATATTTGTACCGTATTCTTACTTTTTATCGTTAAGTTTTCTTATAATTGATGTATTTAAATAAATATTATTTAAAGTATATTTTAATTTATTTAAAACAAGTGTTCGTTAAAATTTAAAGCGCGGGGAAATAAAGTAAAATTGTATTATTGACTGGCGCAGATTCATACATAACTTAAACCGTGACAATTAAGATAGACGAACGTATTTACGCGATAGCGATGCGTTTCTTTTCCTTTGCATTTTGTGACAGTCAATTTAGAACTATCAGCAGGTAGTTAGATCATAATTCGAAAAATTATTAGATAAAAATTGTGTTCTTATGCTATAAAAGAAATAATCAATGATAAGATATATTTTCAATTAATAACTGTCTCGAAATAAGAATAAAGTAAAAACTTTTTTTTTATGAAAAAACAATCACATATTACTTGTTATTTAAATATTGGGTTTTTTAGTAAGAAAATAATTTATAGTTAATATTTAAAATGCAGATTGGCACATTTTTTTTATCTTGTTTAAATTATATTTTTCTACTGTCTCTCTAAGTTCTATATTTTATGTTAAGATGTAAAAAATGCAACAAAAATAACAAATTATAATTTTCTTAGCTTAATAATTTTCTAATTCTGTCTTCTACGAAGTGAAGTATTCAAACTTATTGAATGCACTTAATATTAGATTTCTTTTTTTGCAGATAAATTAAGTATTCAAGATGACGAATCAGAATTTGCTGAAAATTGCACATGAGGAACGGGAGAGCAAGTTCGGATATGTTTATGCAGTATCCGGACCTGGTTAGTTGTTCTCACATGAATTTCACTTCATTCTATTATGCACGTTTGACTTGACATTTTCTTGTTGTAGTTGTTACCGCTGAAAAAATGGCTGGATCGGCTATGTACGAGCTGGTGCGAGTCGGTTATTATGAGCTGGTAGGAGAGATTATCAGATTGGAAGGTGATATGGCTACGATACAGGTAAGAAGTGTTAACTGTGTTTCGTCATAGAAATAGTTTGACTAATTCCGTAACATTCAGGTATATGAAGAGACAAGCGGTGTGACAGTTGGCGATCCCGTGCTTCGCACTGGAAAGCCATTGTCCGTTGAATTGGGTCCTGGCATCCTTGGTAGCATTTTCGACGGTATTCAGCGTCCATTGAAAGACATCAACGAGCTCACAAGCTCGATTTATATCCCGAAAGGTATCAATGTACCGGCGCTTTCGCGTACTGCTGCTTGGGAATTTAATCCGCATAATGTGAAGAATGGCAGCCATATAACAGGCGGTGACTTATACGGCGTCGTGCACGAAAATACTTTAGTAAAGCACTGGATGATCCTGCCTCCTAAATGTAAAGGCACAGTCACGTATGTTGCGCCCGTTGGCAACTATACTGTTGATGTAAGATTTCGTTTATTACATAATTTCATTTTTTAATTATATCATAAATTTCATTTTGTAAATTATATCATAAATTTATGTAATATCCTTATAGGATATCGTATTAGAGACCGAATTCGATGGCGAGAGGCAAAAATACACTATGCTTCAGGTATGAAACATCTCTATGGCAAACATAGAGAATTTTGTATGTATTACGTGTTGTAAATTTACGTTTGTATGCATACAGGTATGGCCAGTCCGTCAACCTCGCCCGGTTACTGAAAAATTGCCAGCTAATCATCCTCTACTCACTGGTCAACGGGTCTTAGACTCTCTCTTTCCGTAAGAACATTCTTCGGATAGTACATTGTAAAACGTATTCGAAACGTATAAGAAATATTTGGAACATATATGCAACATGCATTACATACTACTGTGTTACAGTTGTGTTCAAGGCGGAACCACAGCTATTCCTGGTGCTTTTGGTTGCGGTAAAACCGTCATTTCACAGGCCTTATCCAAGTACTCTAACTCTGATGTAATCATTTATGTCGGTTGCGGAGAACGTGGTAATGAGATGTCCGAAGTATTGCGAGATTTCCCTGAATTGACGGTGGAGATTGAGGGAGTCACCGAATCCATCATGAAACGTACAGCTCTGGTCGCCAATACATCTAACATGCCAGTAGCTGCGCGTGAAGCGTCCATTTACACTGGTATGTGTGATGCGTTATCAAGAAAAACTCATCAATTTACTATAATATAACTCATACAAATAGAGCTATATATTATTTAAGCTATGTTAATCAATAATTTGTTGTTTGTGACGCAGGTATTACACTATCCGAATATTTCCGTGATATGGGTTACAATGTATCGATGATGGCAGATTCAACATCTCGTTGGGCCGAGGCTCTTCGAGAAATTTCAGGTCGTTTAGCTGAAATGCCTGCCGATTCCGGTTATCCTGCTTATCTTGGTGCTCGTTTAGCCAGCTTTTATGAACGCGCCGGAAGGTATGATATTATTGTATTGTAATATATAAAATAGTCGAGTGGTTAGTATAATTAAGTATCTCCTTCGAAATCATAATATCACAGAAAACATATAATATTAAATATGTGTATAATCTTGAAAGAAATTTATATTAAAACAAATATAAGTATTTTGTTTACTAATCAATGCGACTAATATTAGACCTTAATTTTCATGCAGAGTACAATGTTTGGGAAATCCAGATCGTGAAGGATCTGTTAGTATCGTCGGTGCCGTATCACCACCAGGTGGTGACTTTTCTGATCCTGTGACCAGCGCGACGCTCGGTATTGTGCAGGTATAAAGGACGTCTGCATAAAAAGTAAAAAAGATGTTGATAAAATAATTTTTTTAATAAATTATTTAATTTATAGGTGTTCTGGGGTTTGGATAAGAAACTTGCGCAACGCAAACACTTCCCATCTATTAATTGGTTGATATCGTACAGTAAATATTTGCGAGCACTGGATGATTTCTACGACAAGAATTTCCCAGAGTTCGTCCCATTAAGAACGAAAGTGAAGGAGATTTTGCAAGAGGAAGAAGATTTGTCGGAAATTGTGCAATTGGTAGGCAAGGCTTCGCTTGCCGAAACAGATAAAATAACACTTGAAGTAGCGAAATTGTTGAAAGATGATTTTCTGCAACAAAACAGGTATGACATATTGTTTTGAAATTGTTTTATGAATGTATTATTCATAAATGTTATGAATGGTTAAATATTATTTGAAAGAATTTTTTCATTCTTTTCTGAATCTTTTTTTTAATTTCTTCTAGCTATTCACCGTACGATCGTTTCTGTCCATTTTATAAGACTGTAGGAATGTTGCGAAATATGATCGCATTCTATGATATGGCAAGACATGCGGTGGAATCAACAGCTCAGTCAGACAACAAAATCACATGGAATGTTATTAGGGACAGTATGGGCAATATTCTTTATCAATTGAGCTCTATGAAGTTCAAGGTAAGTATCTCTAATCATGTGCAAAGGTTTGACTAATCCCTTCTCGTAATTTTAATTTTAATGTATTTCTTTCTTTTTATTTAAAAAAAAAAATTAAAAAAACTTTGAAACTTTTAGGACCCTGTTAAGGACGGCGAGGCGAAAATCAGAGCAGACTTTGATCAGCTGCATGAAGATATTCAACAGGCGTTCAGGAATTTAGAAGACTAAATTCCTAACTTGCCACTTGTTAAAAGCAATTTTAAGATATTGATTGTTCTTGTAACTTGGCTCTAACATTTAAGAATGTCCAACTAGTAAATTGCAGATAGCCTGCTAAAAATACGACTACATGCAGCATTATCGATTATGTCATATATTATTTGTCGAATATACGTCGACTTTGAAAGGGTTTGAATAAATTGTAAATAGAGAAGCTATGAAATTTATTACCATAAAAAGCAGCGAAATATTCGAGAGAATGTCGTGTCATGTACATGACGATCGTGACAATAAAGTGGGACATTCTTAAATGCATTTGAAGCATACATTTAAAAATAAGCTTCCTTGAGAGTTAACTCGCTTGACTCGAAAGCAGAGCTAATTGTAATTAATCTGATATTATCAGAATTTTATCCTTCGCGTAGAAATATATTTTCGGTTTCTTTTTGCTTTGTTAAAGACGCATATAATCGGGAAAATTAATAATTCCTATATGTTTTCCGTAAATGTATAATATAAACGAAAGTATAAAACGGCTGCCCGTTTCGACGCGCGCAAATTAGAATAATGGTATGAGAATATACTCTTGATTATATATACCAGCTATATGGCATGTGGATAACACGACTGTTCTTATCTTGCAAAAAGATTGTGAAGTATTAAATATTGTAACATATAATGTATTATTTAAGCGCGAAAAACGATAATCGCAACTGTTATGCATAATTAAGCATACTATACCTTAACGTTACAAACATGATTTAAAAGTTTAGAACAGAACACCCATACATACGCATATATGATATGTTAGACAAATGATCAAGGTGCAGGATCTTCGATATCGTGAAGATAAATATGAAAAGAAAAAGAACTTGTGAGTGTTCCATTGACTTCGATATCATTTCCATTGTATGATATGTAAAAAAATACAATAAAATTATGCACAAGAGGATCATGATTTGCTGGATATATGGATATGCCAAATAAGCTTTTGTAGACCACTTTTAATAAAGCTTATTTTAATCATCATTGTATAACAATAACCTCGCGGTATATACATTAACGGTATATTACATTTCGATATCTAACGTTTGGTGAATTAAAATTTTGAAATCTCCATAGAATATTATCTTGTATTGACAAAAATATGTTATTGCCACATGTACGATGCTCTATAGTTTATATATGTACGCATACATGTGTAAATATGCATATATGTCCCATCCATATGTATAATTAATCACAATTAGAAATTTAAATCCTAAACTCATCCTATCAGATATTTTACTCTATAATTATGAAAACAGTATTAAAAATAAAAAATAGTTAATGACCTCTGCGTTTTGTTTGTCATCTGTAGACTCTTTACGTGAATCAACGCAAATTACTTCCTTTTTAAAAATAATTTTGACTGCACCGTCATTTAAACTCTTCCAAAAAAAAAAGAAGATTGTCATGTCAATATTTGATACTCACAGCCATGATGTTTCAACATATGCCAGTACATTGACATGTCACGTCTATGTATATATTTAGGTCGGTATTCATAATCGATTTTTATATGTAACTGTTTGAGCAAAGTTGGTAAAAAACATGTTTTTTTAAATATTGTTTTCTTTTTAAATATATTTTTTGAAATGATGTTTTAAACATATTTTAAATAATAATTTAAAACATGTTTAAAACATATTTTTTTACCAATCTTGGTCTTAAAATGTCATATGGATCAATAAGAAAGCCGCATCTTATCAAGACATTACTTAAGATGGTCTTAAAACAAGAACGGACTATAAATACCGACCTTAGAAAAGTTAATTGTAACAATCATAACTACACAATTATTGTAAATATTCTTTTTCTATTTCATCTAATTTATTAAATAATACGCATAGAAATGTTTTCATACAAATAAAAAAAAATTTTCAATATATATAACATAATCAATATATAATTTACATATATGCATATGCATATTTTATACGTCATTAATATGAATAGTTTACCTTTGACAAAAAATTTTTTTTATAAGTTTATGCATACGTTTAATTTTGTTCGTGTGTTGCAGTTTCCCAAAGTAATTCCAAAGTAGTTATAGAAAAATATAAAATAACTCTTCTAGATTTTCTTACAATTTCTAATTGTATCATAATTAAAAATGTATAAAAATTTTTACTTATTTTTCAGCTGTCACTTAAAAAATAGGTTTAATAATAAAAAAAAACTTTTCGCTACGATAAGAGAAATTTTTACATTCTGTAAAATATAAAATATTTTACTTACTAAACAAAAGTCGGTATTTGAAATTAATTTAAATTACTCCACATGAATATTTTTAGAACATTGATATCATTTAGTAGTATAAATGTGTAGTTATGACTATATTACTAAAAATACCAAATTTGATTCTGAAAAAAATCAAGACATCTTAAAACTTAGTAAGACTGATGCAGTCATCAGAGAAAAGAATAGAATTAGACAACATTCTCATGTGTGACAAGACACAACTCATAGATTCTAATATTTACAGAAAGAGCTACTGACTCACGAATTAGAGGAAGCTTAAGGACTCAAGTGTATAACGTCGGTACTATCGGTCGGGGACGAGGATGATATTTGTGATCTGAGTTGGAGATTCTCGCGTTTCAATTGGGTAACTATTTGTTTCAGTGATATGATTTCTTGTCGTAGCTTGTCGTTATCTCGCAGGCATTGGCTCAGACTTTGATTAGCCGTGCGCAATTCTCCTATGTACTCGCAAGCTCTTGCTAAGATACCTCCTTTACTCTGTTACAGAAAAATAACATCGTTAATACAATATCGTTCAAACAATATACGACAAAAATTTCAATCTGCTATACCTGAGTTTCATAGTTGGTTTTTCCTTCTCCGCTGCCGCTGCCGCTACTGCCAGTGGTATTAGCTGTAGTATTACAGTCAGGGATGATCTTGCCCAACTTTGTAATCCAATTATTTATTTTATCTCTACGCCGACGCTCGACTTCATTATGCGTTGCTCTTCGCCTATCGTCTCTCTAAAAAAAAAAACAAAAAAAAAAGAAACTTGTTTTTTACACATAGAAAAAATAAAGTAATGATATATCAATTACATAAAGAATAAGAATATAATTATGATTAAACCTTTTTCAAGCCAGCGGTGCAATTCCTCGGGGTTTCTATCTGCAGCGTAGCCGTTCTTGGCACCAAGGCTCTTGATGTCTGAGCTGTAGTAAAGACATCGTTGGCATTCCCGATAACATAAAACTGACCATTCAAAGGCGATGTTAAAACCTGTACAGTATTATTCGGTTGCGATGCAGGTATCTCTATCTCATTGGCCGACTGTATTGCTGCTGTACCATTTACTTGGACAACTCGATATGCTAGAGTTTCTGGATAACGCATTTCATCATCTCCAACAGGTTCTAAGAGGAACAGAATACGCAACTGTAAAAATTGATGTTCGACAGCACAATATTCATCAAGTCATCATCAAGTCATCAACAAGTCATCATGTTTAATCTAAATATTTAGATAGGTTAATACAAGCTTTTCTTTTAAAAGATACATTTGACACAAATGTTTATCTTTGGCTGCTTCTCTTTTAGAAAACACAGTTGATATAAATGTTGTCCTATCTTTCTTGGCATTCAATGACTAACAAAGATAGAATGATACCTTGACAATTGTATCTCTTAAAAGGAAAACTGTCTCCTTTATTCATTAAATAGTAGGAATGATAGAACAATATTTTATGTCTACTATGGCTGGTATTCATAGTCAATTCTTATATTTAAGACTATTTTACGTACATCATAAACCAATCAGAGAGCTATATTAGCGTCTTAAGACATTACTTAAGATAGTTTTAAAACAAGAATAAACTATGAATATCGGCTTTTGTAATAAGTACCGGTTATAGTTTACGAATAGAAGACGAAGATCTTATGAAAATATGGCTCTCACCTTCACAATCCACAATCTCTGCTTCCTCTATCACGATCCCCGTCGTGCCACCACCGTCATTCTTCACGGTGCTGCAAAATCAAAGTAACACTTTCAGACGCGATATTATCTTATCTTAACGCGGTTACACGCTACGTGTATTACTTCGACGATTGTGTATGTCGATCCTACGGCGTAAGTGCGCACTGTGCACTAAATGATGATGACCTTGAGGAGACCTCGGACGAGACGGAAAGGAATGTGTTTGCGATACCGTACGATCGATATTTAGTGTAAACGCTACCTGACATCCTGTTGTTCGAGTTGTTGCTCCAAAATGTCCATTCCTCAGTACCGAAAAAAAAAACGTTTGAATTTGTCGAAATTCACGTGAGCTGGTCACGGGACACGGCAACGAGGTCATGTGGTGCATTAAGATGGCATCAAGCTCCGCACGCACCATCTAGTGGCGCACCACGATATGCCAATAAGACGAGTAATGTCCCAAATTACATAATGACACCGTCGATAATTCCAATATACAATTATAATTGTATATTTATATCTGAAATGTTTACGTTAAATTTTATATGAATTATCTTTTTCATAAACAGTGCAAGTAATGTAAAATTACTTACAACAAAGAAATAATTAACAATTATAAGTTTTATAATTGTTGATTGATATATCTTTATTATAATTGATAAACAAAAATCAATTAAGATAAAATTAAGCTTTGGTGCAGTCTAAAAGCTATAGAGATCTCAGTGATCCATAGATTTTTTTTACATAAATGTGTAGATTAATTTTAATTTTGATTTAACTTACTTTTTACCTTTTTTTATAATAGTGTTCTAAGAATTAGAAAAATGCAAAGGATAAACTATATCAAAATTAGAATTAATCAATATTGGTAGAAATGGACATATAAAACCAAGTTATAAATAATTATAGAAGTGAGACATTAGAGGTGGCGTTAGTTTGTAATCCGGCTTTTCTTCCACCGCGCCGTAGGCAGCACCATCGTTCCCTCACCACTACTATTGACATCCCACGCATCTTAAGGAATCCGATATCCAATTTTCTATGCAGTGACGCAGTCTTCGCGAGGGTCCACCACTCGTACCGCGTGTATTTCGTTATGTTTTTGCCCGCCGAAATTTTACGCGGAAACTTTAGGCGTGAATAGCCGATAAGTCACGCGATTACGTTTTGTGCTCCTCGGTGTAATTGAAGATCGCGCAATAATCCATTCCCGCCGAAACCGCGAGATCTTCTCGACACCCGTCAAGATGACTAGGTGAGCGCGCGAACTTTTAGAGGTTATATCCAATACGACATTACGAGTTTCCCCGCTTTGTCAACTTTTCTCACGTGAAAAATACGCAACAAACCTCGTATCTCCCGTTTTCAAAATTTGTTGGAACTAAAAGCCATCCTCATTTTTAATGTTACCGTGTATTCAATTTTCAGGTCGAAAATAGAACTGGGCGACGTGACACCGCACAACATAAAGCAGCTAAAATTGCTCAATCAAGTCGTATTCCCGGTCTCGTACAACGAAAAATTTTACAAGGATGTACTGGAAGCCGGAGAACTCGCTAAACTAGCATATTACAATGACATAGTGGTAGATAGATTTTTAGTGTTTTTTGTTTAGTACTGCGATTCTTAAATTTTGCTTTATGGTTATCATGGTTCAAAGAACATGACACTATTTGCTAAAAATTAGCTAATTTAGATAGAGATTAATTGTGAAGAAAATCTATACTATATTATATTATTTAATCTTGCTGTTCTGTATAAATTTATTATACAATTATATCGTTTAGGTCAGTATATCAAAAATAAATAAAACATTTAAAAAATATATATTAATAGACAAAATTATCAAATACCTAAAAATAAATTACATTTTAAATAAACTCGAATAGGACAGCAGGATTAAAGTACTTTTCACAGACTAAGAAAGAGTTCAAAGATTATTGTATTATACTAAATTTGAAT